TGATGCTTTTGTTTGCATACCATAGTTACTATTGCCAAAGTCAAACGGAATATTCTTGGATTTTCAAAAATAATGTTCTCAGATAGCCTTGGATCTTTTCAAATTTACCCACTAACTTCGCGACCAATTGATACACTATTATGTTGCTCAGTTTCCATAATGGCGATGAGGTCATCATTAATTTGTCTGATTTAACCAAAAATGATTTAAACGACGCATCGAATGTAATGTTACAAATTATCGATGCTTATGCGTGACATAATAACTTGGAGGTTATTGCGTTGATTGAAGGATTCGCTCAACGGTTAGTGCTCAATTTAAAACTTAATCATTAGTAAAATGATAGAGCAGTTAAATATAGAATTCCGTGTGCATGTCCAATATTACACCACGGATTCTACATACTTTCACGGTGAATTTAAAATTAATTAGCAGGAATTTGTAATGTGATATAAAACATGATACTTCATCAGGCACAGCAGCACATTTCGTCTAAGCTCATTATTAGTTAATAGTTATGGTATTTCAAATTGGTTTTTCCATCGACTGGTAGTTAGTATGGTACTCAAAGCAGTGTACAGACAACACCGATAATTTCCATTAGTAATGTAACAGTAAAAAACTTTATATTTCTTATTTTATTTGTTATTTAGACCTTTTAATTAATCTAAATTGATACTTGTAAATTGTGAGAGTAGTCGATTCCTTAACTTAACGATTTTACCATTCCCGTCCAAAAGATACCGAGATATAATTATTTGTTTGTAATTCTGGTTTTTTATTTAAAGACTTCCAAAAGTGGATAGCGCTGCTCCGTTTTATGATTTATAGGGGCCGTTCCCTTAGTTCAGAAGTGATGAAATGTAGAATTATGCAAAAAAATGACATAGGTAAGTGAAGTCAGACAATAATACATCATACAATTCAAATTATAAAAGTCAAGCCAACTAATTAGTTTGAAGGTAAACATTATTAATGCTAAATGTCAATTTAAAAATTAGTAATATTGAGGTGCATTGCAGGAGCCTTTAGACTTTCACTACATTGAACTTTGTACAAGAAACAGCAAGCTTGGACACGCATGGCTCTGTACAGAATTTTTTATGCAAACAATTCAAATTATGTTTGTATGTAAATTCAGTGGAATCCGTCCACATAAAATACAGTTAGACGCAGTCCTGATTATGACTGTACCGTGTAGGTTACATAAATGGGTCTACAACAGTTATAACTTAAAGTAATGTCATTTACCTTGCAAGGAAACAATTGTACCACACTGTTTACAAATTTTTATGAAAAACATTCTGATCAAGGTAATACCTAATTACATAATCTTAAAACCCGAATCAAGTCCTCTCGTACAAGAAATACGCACAACGCACGCTTAAATTAAGCGAAGGTTGTTGGCGTTTTTACTATTACAAAAAATAGGAAATGTTAACAAAGGAAAAGAATAACAATTGTCGTAAAACATTTAATTCGACTTTCTCTCTTTTAATGTGCACATGACCGGATACTAAATTAAACTATCATTAATGGCTACCCCAGGCAACCTTGAAAGAAGTACAATATTTATTAACAATTGGTATATTATAAATGCACCGAAATAAATTGAACCGTTACTATTTTCGACAACTCATCTCATCAAACTTTTTCCAAACAACAGCAAAGTACGAACTTTATAAATACTATTATTATAGAAAAATTGTTAAAGTATACTGTTTGTTAAAATTTATTTTACCGTTAGAATTCCATTTCGCACAATGGGCTATTCAAAAAAAATGCAGAACGTATCCAGTAAAAGTTTTTTTTAGTTAACACACACGGCAGTTTCTTTGTTCTCTATTTTCTCTTAAATTTTGTAAGTATAAAGTGATGCTGTTAAGAGAAGAGTTTCTCAATCTCATCGTGTAGGTATTACGAATATTGTTAATTTAACAATAAAAGGTTAATCGAGGTTAGCATACGACCATGGATATTATAACAGTTCTAGCTGCTGCAATAAATGCACGAACGCATACATAATATATTCAATAGGAAGTTTGATCATAATTAGTATGCTTGTGTGCATTTGCTCTTCTTTTGCTTCTTCTTTCATAAGCACACTTGCGCGTGTTGTCTTTGTTTTTTTGTTATGTAAAGACCACCACTTTTGATGTGGCACGGCAAATCAGTAACTTTCAGGATAAGTGGCGCAAGAATAACTTGCAGTAAGACCGTTTGGTGGAAAACCATTCCTTCCCTAAACACATTTTATTGGCGTACTATGAAGCATGAAGGCATATTAGAAGCATTGTAATTCTCCTCCTCTGCTCCAGCACCAACACTCGCTCAATTTCGTGCGAAAACCAAGTTGGCCTAGGAGTATCTTACCCACGCACCCCTTTCCAACCCCTCCACAATTTTCTAGGACGACAAAAATCCGTCGAATAAACTTTTTATGACCATTGCTTTTGATAGACTACCTTTTTGAGAGTCAAAAATGCGCTAAAAATAAAGTAGCACATAGGACCAACTCAAACATTTTTTTATTTTTGACTTTAAAATCGTTATATGGGGAGGTATTTAAAAACCTAAAACTTTCTTTCGGGAACTTTTTCTGTTCTTTCAGATGGTGGAAATGAATTTTCCATCAATACTGATTTCAAAATTAAAAGAAAATCATTTCGAGTGACATTTGTCATTAATTTTTAGGGTATCTTTCACCGACAATAAACTGTTGAAAGTCATTTTTAACAAGGTTCCCAATGATGTATCACATCATGTGCAGTATCAGTTAAAAATTCAAGGGATGTTCTCTCCTAATCGGTTTTGGCTATTTGTTGGTATTATTTCAGATTCCTTACTAGATATTTTTAAGCCTCAACAGTTCTCATAATTTCTTCAAAATTGATTAGATCAAACCACTGTGACAATTATTGAGCTGCATCGGAGAGACTCTAAAATACTAAATATCAAATCATATTTCTCCTGAACGTTTAAACGTTTTTCTATTAGAGAAATATAGCAGTGTGGTCCACTCAAGAAATTGCAATTTACCGCTGCATTGAACTATTAAAACTGACCATTTCAGTGGCGACTTCACAGAATGACAGTGAATTCATCGCTGGAGAATCTGCCGTTTTTTTGAGTTAACGGTGTCGCCATTTTGTCTTACATGATTATATTCGAAATGATTCGGTTCAGCCAGTTAACTGTGATTTTTGGATTACTTTTCTCAACAATACCTTATAATTTGGTACCGCCTTTTTAAAGAACATTCCAATGATGTGTCACCATGGAGGAATTGGGATTAGTTTTTTAAACCAGTAGGAGGTAAGAGTAACCAGACTAGCTCATATGGTTTTTTTGGTTCCTTCTATTTCATGAATTTTCAAAAAGCCGGGGTCAACGCATTGTTCAAGCGCGTGCCTGCAGTATTAATGTATGTTTATTCGCTAAGGCAGAAAATGGAATCTTCCCGCCGTGTGGAAACTACCCATGCGCTACCCAAAATAAGTTGTGTGTGCATTGAAACATCATAACCTTTCCAAGAAAAAATTAGGAGCTTCATGTTTTGAGTGACAAGACTAAAACAGCAATAGTCGTACAAGTGAAAAAATCTTGCTTTGGGGCCGATCTTCCTAATTGGCTCGAAAACTTGGAATGTTGAGTTAATTTATAACGTTCGGCTCGACCAGGTCACAGTGTTTGCTCTGTGATGACAATAGCACTTTGAGAAAAACTAAAGCACAGCTCAACCAATTAGGTGTGGCAAATGGCACAAGACTGTGAGATGCTTCTGAACAGGTTCAAATACCTCATATCACAGAGTATATAGTTATATACGGTGGCGTTCTCTTAGGCTCCACTCCTGAGCAAGTTTTATATCAATAGTGAGTGCACATTAATACATGACAATATCGTGTTTTAGAAACCAGCTTGATTTGCTTGAATCTGAACTAGTCAATTTTCAAACTGTAGGGTAATTTCACTGTACCCAAGCGTTCATAGGCGTCAATATCCCAATTCAATTGAATATTTTCCCATATTTTCTAGCACATTCCGTTCTTAGTACGAACGGGAACGGGCCAAGAAGAGAACGTAGAATTTTTTCCAAATTTTGGTGCAAGAAAGACAAAAGTTCAGATTCTTATTTAAACTTTATATGCTTCTTTGAAGGACATTTTAACCCAGACGAGTGTTAGCTGTAAAACCGCACACTGATGTTCTTCGAACACTTTTACCTTCTTCGAAATGCATTTTCTCGGTCAGTGGACGTAATTTATGGCGCCATTCTGAGAGATCATTTTAAATCAGAATTATCAGTTTTGGGTGAAAAATTAAGTGTTACCTTGCTAATGACGCGATGATTTAAGTTTCTCGAAAACTGTGGTTTTTCAAACCACACACCGGGCAGTAAGTAATTCTAGGAATGGGCTGCATTTTTGTACAAATACCGCGGAATGTAAATGAGAGGTGATGTCGCAACTTAAACAAGACATTGAAAATTTAAGGAAACATTCGGCTTGAGTGTTAATAAAAAAATACCAACGAAAGTTTGAAATTGCGCAACCGTTCAAAGTAATATTAATGTTTCATATGAACATTTCCCATGTCTGAATTGTTCATTCATATGTAAAATACGTTTTACATATTCTCGGATAAATTAATTAATAATGTTCTATGAATATTTACGAAATACGGCACTTATTGACTTGATTAGTCTATGCGGCCTGAATCTTTATACATTTAGAGGAAAATTGATCAGTTTAAACCAGTTTTTTATTATTACACATAAAATGAAGGGTTTTTAAATGTCAGGAACCGATGTTTTATTGAGCAAACATGTGGAGGACTGATTGTCAAACGTTAATGAAAACCTATCCATTACATTTATAATTGCACATTGCGAAAAATAATTAGGTATAGAAGCAATTATCTCGCACTGACACTTCATTATCTCAGCTAATATTACGAAATTTAATTTTAAAACTGTGCCAATTACGAGTAGAACTTACCCTATAAATGTAAAAAGTTTGAAGTACTTTCCAAAATTGTGGCAATCCACCTTCACAAAAATTTATAACGGGGAGACTTTAACGATCGGTTAGTAAAGAAACCCGCACGGGACTATTTATTAAAGGTACCTTATTATGTTTTAATTCTAAGTTTATATTATAAGTAACGCATTACGGGTCTCAGGTTCAGTGCACGGAACTCGCAACTGTTGCTGTTCGCGATATGGACAGTGACTGTCGATGGAAATGGTAAGGTAAAATGGTATAAGCGGTACCAGCACACGCGGCGGCCGCGACAAACTGCAGATATACCATTGAAAAAAAATAGCATGCGTCGAAGATGAAAACTAAATGCCTATTGTTGGAAGTACTCTTAGTGTAGGTTGTGTTAATTATAGTAATATGCATAGCATGATAATTTTAAGTAAAAATCTTCGAAAGAAGATCTGCGAATTAAAGAAAAGCAACATTATTTGATTCTTGATAGGGCCAAAAAAGTCGAATCGGCGTTCTACCAGTAATTAACAAATTCTTGACATTTGATGTGGACATTAGTGTAGGTGAACCCTAAAAGAGTCTGGCGACAGTTTGACAAATTCAGTTTTTTCTGATTGAAGACAAACGTTCAGGGACAACTTTCATAGAGCTCATTAGTGAAATAAAAACGAGTTTTAGGCTCTAACGGCATCTTCTAGCTTCGTGAATTCGAATTCAAGTTTCAACTTAATTCGCATTGCCATCAAAATTTACTGGCGAATTTTAAATCTAAAATGGCACATCCGATTTTTGTTAACCGAATACAATAAAAATTATTGCTTATTAGTTATTAGTCAGTCTCGGCTTTGGTTGCTTCTATTCCGACACGGACGTTTATGACCTGACTGAGGAACTGAAATATGTGCATGTAAATTCTGAGTACAATAGTGTTTTTCACATCATTATTGAAAACCTGGCGCGTGGTTTTTTTAAACGGTACAGATTATTGTCCTTTCATCTTAATTGCACTTTATATTATTGATGTTATTCTTACCAGCTGCGGGGGTGATGGGTAGTTCCGCCCGAGAGGGTAAATGGGTAGTCCAACAGTTTAGGTCGACAAAACCATTGAATGTTTGAACGTGAACTTTATTATAGCTTATTACTTGCTCGCTGCACTTTTGCACCAGTCAAAAATTAGTGCATCTTAATCTAAATCTTGAATTAAGGGATGACAGTACCTTGAAAAAACATAATTGGAGAAATAGGTCTGAAATACTTAAAATAATAATCAACTATTTGGTTAATTTCATAGCGCGTAGCTCACAATAATGCAAAACTAGTGCATAATTAAATTTCTATTTTAAAAGAGTGAAAAAACTTCATTTACTTGCACAAAAGGTTACAATGCACTGAAACATTTCAAGGACGTGTCATTGATCCTATAGTATTTCGCTATTTCATTATTCGCAACATTAAATTATGATTGATCTCGTACGACCTTTTTGCAGGCCATTCTAGCTATGGCCAAATCTATCAAAATGAACGCCGACACCAGGTTGATTCTTTAATTAGGCTCTTCGTTAATACAAATTTCGTAATGTGGTATTTGAAACCAATTTATTTCAACAAAGAACCTTTTTGGCGATTTTGACACGGTCGATTTAATTCGTCAAATCAAAAAAACAAGCAGTTTGTAATCAATTTTTATAATATTTAATTAAAAGTTGAAAATCAAACACATAATGCAATAATAAATTTTACCAGTAAAAATAAATTGAACCAGTTTTTTTAATCCAATTAATCCCGCTATCAGGACCTCTGATGGCAAGTATAGTGATGTCTTTTATGTGCTACAATACGACGGGGAATTTTCCTCATTTAAAATCGATGGGTAGCCCCAATAAATAATTATGTGTTTAATATCATTGCTAATTGAAAAACTAATTTCGTGGATATTAGGGGCATAAATGTCAAGAGTACCCTTACCGGTTTCCAAATGGTTCCTTCAGCCGCCTAAACGCAGGCAATCCATCATACCTCAAATCCGTTGAAGTGGGTATTTCTGCACTAACTACTACAACTAATGACAGTACGAAAATCGTTACATTCCTGTTCTTATAATAAAGGGTTCTTCAATATCGTTCCGTAAAAGCTAATTAATTTCTAGATAAGCAGGTGTTTTCGCGATATAAACAGGTGTTAGTTTATCTAAGACGTAATTGGAAGTTAGACGGCAAGGGGAGCCGGTCGTCTTTTCTAGTAGAAGTAGAAGGAGGTCTACCATTCGCAATAATGGACACGATTTTCTCCGAAAACCGTATAAAAATTATTGAAGTCCATTACGAGAATGGGCCCTCTTTTAAACCACATTTCGTAAATTGTGTGTACTTTGGGTGGTTCTAATAATACATCAGATGCAATTAACGATTTTAGGAAGAAATTTGTGTCGACTGGTTGTTCAGTACACGACATTTTATATCATCTGAACGCATTCGTGTCGGTTGTCCAAGTAAAATTTTGCATCTTTGTGAAAGTGTGGCTGAAGATCCAAATTTATCAATTCCACGACGTTCACAACGGTCCACAAACATCACAAAGCGGATTTCACGCACGGATTTAAGCCTAAATGGTGCAACTTATTTAAGAACTGAAGCGTCGAAAGCTTACTGATTTCAAAAATGAACAAGGTGCTGGATTTTCAGATAAATTAATCTTTTGTGAGGGTATGTTAATAAACAAAATGGTTGCATCTGGGCTTCAGAAAATCCAAACGAGGAAACCTTTAGATCCTGGTCGTGTCACTGTGTGGCGTGCTTTGTGGTATGGAGGTGGCATTGGCCCTTTTTTTAATTGAAGCAAACTGGTCCCTTAGAATTAATGAAGAGGCGTGGTACCTGAATGGCCTAATTGCAATGATATGGATATTCATGTCTTATGGATTTAAAACATGCCATACAAGCCTAGTAAGAATGATATATTGAGCACACAATTGGACGAATCCAAAGGTGAACCTTTAATTTCACGTGGCCGTGATATCAAATGGTCACCAAGATCATGTGGCTTGACTCGTCCATTGGATATACTTTTGGAGGGGCTGTGTGGAAGACAAAGTTTATACGAATAATCCAACAACAATTCAACACCTTTAAGCTTAAAGCACACTTGTCCGGACGGAATCGGTCCGGAACAGACCTCATTCATCGGAAAAAATCCGTTCAGGGCTGATTCCGTCCGGAAAAATGTGCTTCAAGCTTGGTCAAGAATTGATAGATTGTGATGGACTTTGCCTGACATGGTACTTTTCATTTACTTTTTCATTTTTAAAATTTCTTCACCACAATATTCAGAATAGGTTCTCTGCCCATGGTATGTGTTTTTTTACACTACCGAGTACTTTATAAGTTACTTTGTAGGATGGCAAGAGAGCTGTCTCGTTTACTGCGAGTCACAAAATCCGTCTTCTGTTTTTTTAAATGACCTGAGTGTCTCTTTGAAAAGTGCACGCTGTTTGCTTCCACGTTCCTTGTGAAGTGTTTCGAGCTGCCTCTTCAGTTTATTGGGTGTTGTTCTATCAGTAGACAGCGGCCAATACACGGTATCTTCAAACAAACAACGCAATACGAATTGTCTTCTCCACTATTCGGCACATTTTCGAGTTTTGTATTTACACCATCTCTTCTTGGATATTCAACGTCAAATTTTTGTTTGGTACAAATTTTTTTACCCTTGGGTTGGGCTATTACACGCCTTCGTACGTGGACCCTTGGATCTATTGTGCGTGCCCCATTATCTAATACCGAGAGAGGCAGTTTCTTAAAGGATCTGAGGATCTTCTCCGGCTGCCAGTTTCTGATCTGCAGAGGAGCTATTGCGGCCTCATGATCTTTGTCCGTGGACAGCCCCACACCACCAGAGGACGTGTTCCGCTGTCTCTTCCTCCTCAAGGCAGAGGGGATCTATGTATGTTATCCTCAGCTACCCCAATTTTGTTCAAAGCGGGCCGTGTCCAGTGTCCGTAGTTCATTTCTGCTGACCTGGTTTTAACCTTCTGGACATTGATTAGTTTCTTGGATCGTCTTAGTCCAGGGACGGACTTCCATAGACGTTTCTACTCTTTTCTTATCACTCCTCCAGCTAGGCTTGCTGGTGCGCCACAGTAGGGTTCCGGACCGATTTGGAGATATTTGGTGTTTGCCTCCTCGTTACCAGCTATCTCCTCATAACCTGGCACTCACACTAACACATATTAGAAGTAGTTGAATACCCTCTCAATGTTCAGAAATTTATTGACAGTCTGGTCTTTGAATATATTGAAAGGTCTAGTCTAGACTCTTTGATCTTCAACGGCAGGGGAAAGGATGCAGAACTCTTGAGTTGGTACGAGGGCGGTCGTGTTGCTTTAAAGGCTTCAAGAGCTTAATGGTGCTTTCATAAACGTTACCATTAATCGTGGTCCCTTTTGCCATTATTCAATAAGCAAAACGCTCTTATAGTGTCAAAATAAGATCGAGATCGCCATCAATTTTCCAGACGAAGACTAGGTTTTTGACTTTTTTGGTTGTGGCGAGCCCTTATATCAGCCTTCTGCATTGGTTCCTGTTTTGTAGCCTGTGACAATCCCTAAGAAATAACTTTCATCGTTCGCCTAAGTGTCCAAATGCTCCTGACAAATTTATATCCTCACCAGCACCGCTTTGGCGTAAGCTTCTTTTGCAAGTACTAGGATTTTGTTTGCGTCGATCAAACACCGCCTACGGTTTCATCGGGTTTTGCCCCAATCGGTCTTCCTGATCCTGGGTCGTCCCATCGAAATGCTTTCGATCAATATTTTACTCGAAAATAAGATGAGCCATTAGCACCGTACGCCTGTGTGTCATAGATAACTTTAGCAGAATTTCCCTCTTTGGTGAGGAGCTTATAACCGCGAGATGCTCTGAATTAAGTCCACTAATTTTTCGAAATGTTGTAGAGCCGTACAGAATTACGTCGGAGTATTTACTACACTATAATAGCAGTTATTTGACTTTTGGAGCGCTGAGTGATGCTAAGGATGTGGTGCAAAAAGACCAACCAGTTGATTGCGTCCGATACACATGGAAGTAGATAAAAATTTCTGGCGTTTTAGAGCCTTGTAGATATTTCCCAGAGTCTTAAAGGCTCTCCTAGTTTCAAGTGCGGAATTAGCTCAGTCGTATTTCAAAGCGTAGTGACGTGGTGCAGTCCCCTATAAATTAGGGTGGTCAACGGTCGACTCGCCACTGACTGACTGACAACTCACCATTCGTCAACGAAATATTTGTTCCTGTTTAATAGATAAAGATGTGAGCGACTTCCGGGATAGTATCGTGTCAATGTTGAACAAAAAGACTTTTCGTTCAACATCCTATTTCGGAAGTCGCTCGCATCTTAAGAAAAACATAGATTGTAAATTGACACAAGGTGTGCTGTGACCGGCAATCATACCTGGCGAGAGCAATATGTAAATTGTTTACGATTACACTTTTTACTTTTTAAATTATTTGACCCACCTCTGCTCTTGTGGTGACTAAAATTAATGGTATAACGGACTGGGCTAAAGACTGAAGGTCGTACATCGTGCGAAATAATACTGAGGTTTGTCCACAGTGTACAATTCGTCCCCGGATGAACAGTATGAGAGAAAGGTTGTTATTTGTGACTTTAGGCAAAACGCCCAATTTTGAAACAAAAGACTGAATGAGATCACCTTATTATTATACCTTGATTTGAACGAACAGTTTCCTTAAAAATCATTTTTAGTTTAAGTTGTAAATAATATTTTCTCTATTATTTAGGTGATTCGGGTACGCACTTTGTTATGTACCAAGGGATATTCGTCCCTGGAATGCATACTCCATAAAATTCGATCAATAACTCCCCAAAAGCGTATTTGCCCCAGGAGTATTCCCCAAAGGAAATTCGCTCGCGGAGTAGTTGCTTAACATTCGCTCACCAAAGCTCACCCTCCGAATATTCGTGGTCTAAGACATTCGCCTCAAGGATATTCACGTGTGTAAAAACTTGAAAGGAAGCTACTTCTTGGAATAGGGGTTACTGCATAGTCCTTTCAGTTTACAGGCGAGTGCAAGTATTTAAAAATTAACTTTAATTTAATGACTTTTGTTGTCTTCAAAGATTACCACAAGAACAACATAAAATATATGTAGACCAATGGCGTATATGTTACGGTGAAAGTTTCTAATGTGCCGATTATTCATAATCACTGGTGAATGTGATAAATTTGGGGTGCCTGTAGGGGAAAGGAATTGTCATATATGAAACTAATAAGATATTGAATTTAAAAAATCGTTCTGGAGGTTGTTTTCCTTCCCTCAATTATTCACATTGACTGGTTATGATTAATCGCCGCATTAATTACTTTGACGTAACATATATACTGCGTGATCAAAAATGATTGAGTTTTATGAATTCCTCTGAATTACGAATTTTAGGTTACCATATATTACCAATTTCACAGAAAATACTAAGTAAGTATTCAAATAATCTACACTCATTTTTGATCCAATTGTATTTATAAGCCAAACAGAAGCTGCTTTTCCGTTTATGGAAACAGAACAAGAGGACAATTTCAATTGTCTCGGCTAATAGCGTTGAATTTTTTTAATCTAACTTCCAAGTGTTTGCCTGGAATCATTTAGAAGACGTAATTAGTTGTTCAGAATTCAAGTCATATTGGAATAACAGAGGATCTGCGAAACAACTATGGGAGGCGAATAAATCAAATTTTACCCCTTCTTATTTGTAAATTTTGGAGGGGTAGACTGACAGGTGGCAGATCGGTAAATTTGGTTGTATGAATATTTTCTGTCATATCCAAATTGTTTTGACATTTTAGATCTTCTAAAAACAAGTTACTGAACGCTTTTGGATTACTCAAATTTCTGATGTGACATGCCGAACTGGAAAATCTTCAAACAAAATCATTACTTCGAATATTATGTCTTACACTTCATCACTTCAAATTTCTGATAAGATGCATGATGCGATACTTTTCCTCTAAATTAAATAAAGTATTTCAAGATAAAAGTTTTTCTTTTAATACTTCTAATGTACAACAATAAGTATTTATTATTATTACAGAAAAGAAATGTGGCAGTGATTCAGATCAAAATACAGTTTTAATGTTATATACATTGAGAAATACATTGGAATGTTGAAATATACATTTAGCTTACAATGATTACAAAAATCATTTAAATTTTTATCTATGAATATACACACTTATAACAATCACAGAAATTATTTGTTCAGATCTATTTATATGCAATTCCACAAGTTTTTATGTAGATCTTTTAAACAGCATTACTATTCTTATATGAATACTACAAAAACATGTTTTGAACTTCTGTTATCAAAATATCAAAAACATTCTCTATACCTTATAAACATCGAGTGTAAGTAACTAATGAAACAGAAGAATGTGAAATGTTATTTTGACGAAACTGTGCATTAGGTTAACACTCTTTTTTGAAGACACATTTATAATTAATGGCTACAATAAAACTAACAAATATGTCAATAGTTGCACTTATTACAAACATCGGCGATATAAAGTGAAATATTTACATTTTTCTTTGGTACATTAAAAAAAAACTCTGCATATAAATACATTTTCCCTGTATTAAAAGTATTTTTGTTACTTTAGGATCTTAATAAATAAATAAATATTATTTATTTAGGAAATTTCTTTGTACATTGTTTAGTTCCTCCAAAATCTTTTCAAGATATTAAAAAGCACCTATCTAGAATTTAGTCCAGCTTTTTTCTATCATCTCTTTATACACAACATTCACAGTTTTCAATCATTGAAACAATAAAAATCTACATCAAGCTATTCGATGTACAACATAATAAAGTAAGCCAGGTACATAGCATACACAGCAGTTCTAATCCCTTTCTTATCGTCTTTAAAGGATCACATATAGTCAAACCAAACGCACCTGTTGCCAGTCTGTAATGGATCTGAAGGTACAGTCAATTATTGTTGCTGCAACAGTAGCTGTTCTAATTCGTCCGCCGACCGAAGAAGGAATGCCGCCGATTCACGATACCCTGTTATCAGTTGTCGTACGGCCGCCATCTCTGTTGAGCTCAATTTGTGATTAAGTAATGGCTTCTGTTTCATACTTAAGTCTGTAGGGCCTAAAGTTCGTTTAGTATTAAACATGGAATGGAAATGACTTAAATACTTGCCATTTGTTAAAAGTCCACCGCCTGTATTGAAGGGTTGGCCGGGGAAGAGAGGATAAGGACCTGCTCGTTGAAAGGCCTGAGAAAAATTAGGTCTGTACATCGCCGTGGGTGCCGTTCCTGGGGATGTCGATATGCCCATACCATTTAAAGGCGCCGTTGACAATCCCGCGTTAGACACACTAAAATAAAAATAGTTTGGTTGGAAGGATTGGGGGTTAGTGCTTACCTAAGACCTGTTGGTTTAATGTCGGGCGTTAATGACATTCCCTTAGAAATTGAATTTGTCGTCGTGGATGCAGTGGTTGAAGAAGGGAAAACACTTGACGCGGTATCTACTTCTAATTTTACTGGTGTATTTCCTGGTAAGTCTATACTTCTACTAATGGCCGCTGTGGTGTCTGTCGCCTGCAAAATTTACAAAACGTTACCATGGGATCCAATCGCAAACAGTCATACTAACTGTAGCACCCGGAAGTAGAGGCATAGGTTGACTCACTGGCTCAAGTCCTAAACGCATCCTTTTGGCATTATGACTCTCATTTTCACACGCGCTTGCCAAGATTTGTTCCGCTTGCACAGACGTTAAATGGGCTGGGGTTGGTCGAGTCTACAAAGAACTGTGATAAAAAGTGTTATTCTAATCCGAATGGCCACAATTACAGAATCCCAAGGCGAATTTGGATCCCTCGCTCGTTTATTTCTCCTGCATGATTTTAGGTAGGTACGTATTCGTTTTCGCGCACGTTCCGCGAATTCGGGAAACTGCCTTGTGCACGAATCAATAATCGCTTGAATTTTTTCTTTCGGTTGTTTACTAATAGGTACCATTCTATCTAAGTTTTCGTCAACGAACAGTCTTACAAACATCTAAAAGAGGAATGGTGAGTAAATGTACGCAAAGTTATAGAATAAACTAACATTAAACGCTTTAAGTCTTTCGGGGTCGTGCGTTTGTGTGTCAATTTTGTCATCGCTTTCATCGTCGTCGTCGTCTTCGTCTTCTTTGTTTCCACTAGAACTCGTTTCGTCATGAGCCGACCCTGCATCGGCATTGACTGGACTCTAAAAGTGCATAATTGATTCTACATAAGGAAGTTAAATAGATCCTTAATTTATTTTATCGTTTAGCAATGAATATAAACGTGATTAACTTTTAAAGTATAAACAAGGTTCTTTCTAACATTCTGCTTGCAAATTATGACCAATTTCAAGGATTAACTAAACACTTACAGATTGATCTCTTGGAACTGGTGGCGTAGCTTTGCCTTTTGACAAGCCTAAAGCCGAATGATATTGCGCCCATAACCCGGCCATTTCTTCTCCTCCCGGAATCGATGTGAGATCTGGTAGGTCGCCGCTACCATTGCGACTTCCTAAACATATACAACGTGGTAATGTTGTGAAGAAATTGCGCGATTAGATTCGATGATGAAGTGTTGGAAACGATGTGAAATAAATATGAACAATTTAGAAGAAAATTAAGGAGAAATTTAATAAAGCCAATTAAAAAAATTGTTACCTTGAGTCTGGTTGTGGTAGTTCCATGCCAAGAGCATCAACTTGAGCTTGTCGGTGTCTTTCATAGCCCCGGTCCCTGCACAGCCAATGACGCCACGCATTATTAGCAGGGTTGGTTTCACAAAATGTGTTTTTTTTTAAGGTTGACATTCATTCTGCACATCATACAATTTTAATCCACAGTCATTATAGCAGGATCGTAACCCATACATTTATTTATGTGATGACGGTAAGGTGACTCAATTTTAATGTTTTCAAGTACATACTCCAACATTTAAACATTATCCAGACAATAACAGAGTGAATTCGTGTCACCAAATGAAAAAATGGTATCTAATTATTGTAGTAACTTTATGTTTTGCATAATATTACTTAATTAGAAAATGAGACTAATTTATTACACTAATGAGACTTTTCTTGCAACTAAAAATTAGTCAATAAAATACGCTAGTAATTTACTACGACTGGGGCTAATTTAAATTAACAAACGGGGAAAATAGTCAATCAATTCGCCAAAGCCTGAGAATATTACTGCGTTTAAATATGCACTCAAAGCGTAAAATTTGTGTTAGCCACTCACAACTCAAAACTACAGGAGAGTGTTTCAGTTCACTTACTTTTAGAACAATGAACAAATTATAGGCAATGAAGATAAAAGCTACACACTTGTGGTCAAGAGCCGTGTAATCTTTTATATAATTACTTGTATAAAATCCAAAGAAGATCTAACCGAGCGTGGCTTTATGTACACAAATTATCAAAAATGTGTTGTTTCATTCCAAGCCTCTTTGTTTACCCCAGTTGTTTCTACAGGTAGACGTATGTCATGGTTTATTTCTATTTACAACAAACGTATTATTCATGAAATCATTATTGCCGGCAGTCGCTTATTTATGAAGGTTGGTCGCATTTCGTAATTTTTATATCATATCTGAGTTTGGATGTTTTAAGTGAGCTTCTTGGTTTTTGAAAATATCTCGTAAAAACCATTTTTCTTCTGCATTTCACAACACTGCAATTAACCCCATAAATATCGTCAGAAAAAAACTCGGACTGTATTTTAAATTTTGGTGTCGTGCATTTACTTACTTCTTTTTTAGGAAATTTTCTTTTACGGGTAAATATTGAGTACTTTGGTTTTGTCACTATATCCATTTACAATAGCTAAATTCACGAACTAGCAGACCACATTTTGAACCTTCAAACGTATTTTTGGATTGGTTTTGGTGTTTTCAATCACTACATTTTCTTGACATGCTTATAACTTGTGCACAAAAAAGTATAGCACATCCTCGTTTATAAAATTACAAGTTTTGTAGCTCCTAGCTTGAGCATACGTAGCTATAGCGTTTTTTTTACATCAAAATTTCATCAAATGTCGACGTAAGATCATTTAAGTAACGTTTAAAATACTTTTTTTATCCGTCCCTACGTGCGTGTCTACGTACACCAAGATAGCAGCTCGACCGATATTGTTTGTTGTTGTTGTTGTTTGTTGTTTGGAAACGAAACATAACGCGCCAGATTTTTGAAAATAATTTTTTGGAACACATAAAAATTGCGCCAGGTTTTTTTTACCAAAAATAACTAAGAAAAAATCTCAAATAAAAACCAAAATATTTTTTTGCCGTCGGATGTAAGGTCATACAACTTTTTTTCAAATTAGCAACCTAGAACTGTTTGAGTTATTTGAAAGAAATCATTTCTCTTTGTAAAATTTGAGATAAGATTTATTACAAAAATCTTGGGAAACAATTTTAAATTCTCCGACATCCAGTAACTTAGTGCGCGGTTAATATTTAGGATGAGTGATTGCTTAAGAAGTTCGGTCGTTTTCTTTTTAGTTCTAATGTGAAGAACTTAAGATAATATAACATTTGTTAAAATAGTGTACCTACATGTGTATATAATGCAATTTTTATCATTAATTTTTACTTATTATTAAATGTACTGGCAAATAACCCTGGGCTATTACACGTAATTAGGAAAACGCACACGCAGTGGCCATTATATTTTGTGAAATCGGAAAATTATAATTTTTAATGATTTGCGCAATTGCGATTTTGACAAAATATATTTTAGGTCTTAGTAAAGGTTCTATATATGTATCAAACTTCGTTCAATTCGATTTAGTCATAATATGGAAAAACGTCAAGAATTAACAGTTTTTTTTGTTTCTTGATACACTTCGATTCTACCCAAAAGCTCTTCAGCTCTTCCTTTTATGTCTAAGAATATGTGTACCAAATTTGATTCCGATCGGTTCAGCCGTTTAGTACGAAATGAGAGTTCAGACAAACAGACCGTCAGACATCATCGAGATTTTGTTTGATTCACATTCTTAGTGCTTCGAAACGTGTATTTTCGTCAAAAAATAGGGCGGGGTGGATAATTTTTTACTCCAATGCAATATGTATCTCTCTTTACTAATTTGCGGGTAGTAAAAAAGTGTTTACTATGAGGGTCCTAATTTTTGTAGTAAGTAGGTATTTCAAATATATTTAGCGCATTTTTTTTAACAATTAAAAAATATGCTTTTTCGGACCCACTTCTGTGGTTTTGAACTACTTTTAAGGGATTTTTTTGCAATAGCTAGCCTATACATTGAAGGTGTGCCAGGTAGCCATGAGTGACAGGGAGCATTCGTTTATCTTCGTATTCTAATTAAAGGTCTGAACAAAAAGAACTGTTTCTACCGCCTTCTTCCTCACCCCTTATCAAAATAGGGGGCTCGTAGAGGGGGGAGGGGATCTTGTTTTATCCTTCGTAGTACTCTAATGCAAGGTCTCAACGAAATTAATCAATTTCTACCAACCATAGTCCCCCTTCTCGACTCCTTATCGCAAACGGCTGTAATTCATTTACCTATATTTCATGAGCGAATTCTTGGAGAAGACTCACAAAGGGCGGTTGGGATGTTGGGAGAAATATATCGGGGCTCCAAGTTCACACAGTTCAAAGTATTTGATATTAATCAGTAAATCTAGGGAGGAAAATTCTATCAAATTCAATTAAGAAAATATAATCATGCCATTAAAAAAATTTAAATCAACTATTAGTAGCCTCTGAAAATAATAACTTAAAAATTATGGTCGTTTTGTAGTATTTTTGCGGTCATTGAATATGGTTTTTGTTGTATTGAATTTGGACAAAAACTGTGGGCGCTACTGCAGCATTTTTTAAATTACATCCTGTAGATTATGTAAAACAGTTTTTTTTACAAAATGTGAATCTATTTTTTTGGCGAATATATGACCCGTGCTGAAAAATGAGCTTTTGCCTTATGATTAAAAAACATTACCGCATCAGGGCGCATAATAGAGGTCTTCAACATAAGCTACTCCGACGTAGTCTTTGTCTTTAAATGGAATTGTGAAAGCTGTTATAATAAAGATTCCATAAACACACACAGTATGTCCCTGCATGGACTGAATAAGAACACATTTTGCGAATCAGCTAATCTCAAAACCACCAATTCTGAAAGAAAAACGGAAACGGAAAATAACACTCAAAAGTGTGAAACGGTTTGAAGTAAATTTTTGTGTATTTTCCAATTTTCTCGGATGTTTCAGAATATTCAAATTGTTGCTTTAGTTGGCGGCTTTGAGACGAGAAAAAAATGTATAAAGACTAATATCCTGAGTTTCACACTTTTTAACATTGGAAATGTTCACGATTTCGTATATGGGTACAAAGTTCCGAGTTTCGTTCAAGGCCAAAAGACAACGGCGTCGCATCAAATGACGATTGTACAGTCCTCGCCGCGATCGGCAGGTTGAGAAATCGAGACGATCAAGGGATAGTTTTACCATCGGATGAATTTTAATTCAGGTGATTGCTCGTTTCTCTTTATCATTGTGTATAATACAACATTTTGTTTTACAGCAGTTATATATCGCCATATCATTTGTTTTCTGATTTAATATCCACTTTATTGATGTTTGGCCTTTTTTTAAATTAAATAATTGAAGCAGCGGCGACCAACTTCTACTAAGGACCTTGTAGCGCTAGGAATCAAATGCATTGGAGTGATTCAAATAATTAAAATACCAGCATAGCACGTTGTTGGAATGTTCGATACAAGAATATTCAATTACGGAACAATACTAAAACTAAAAATGCACATACTTGGTGAAAAGACATGCAATCGTTACTGTCTGGAACGATTGTAAACTGTGAATGGCTAAAATAAATAGACCAACCCTGCTACAATTACCATTCATAAACGGGAAAATTTGGTAGAACTTTAATGACTAAGACACAAGGTACGCCCAATTAAAAAAATAATAGAACACGTTAATGAATGAGTGTATAATAAAATGATGGGTTATTAAAACAGGTGTTGAATGTAACAGTCGTGAAAATCGTTATTATTCATAAACATGTACTTAAGAACATACCGCTGAAATGATCTTCTTCGTTCGTCGAGTCTGATGGTTCCGGAGTCGCCAAGTTCTCCTGAAACGAAAACACGATCTTAGTCCATTAAATCGAAAAGAACGTGCAAATAGTTTTGACCTCTTCATTTTCTAGCTTTGCAAAAGAGGAACAAGACAAGCAAACGTCGGTCGTTACGCTTCGAGTTGTTTAACTTGAAAGTGCTCGCTATAAATACAGGATACAATAACGTAATTATAATTTTAAATTAGCAGCTACTTGTATTCGTTTTTCAATATTCATTTAACTACAGTTGTTTTTTGCAAAAGAAGCATTAGATCTAACGCTTCGATTAGCTATACGCATCCTTAAAATTATGTAATTATTATACGCATTATTGCAGGATACACGCGGAGCACCCCAAGTATAATTTTTGCATATAACGATATTAAACACGCTCCTGCAATTAATTACACTCATCGGCATCAGATAACGAAGAATATTTTTCTTTAGTTATCGCGTTTTAAGTGAAAACACTGTTTTATTGCAATAATTTTAACCACTACATTAGACAGCACTTAAAAAGTTTAGATTGCGAAATACATTCGAACGATCAGTGGTGAAAACAGGCTGGCTAAACGAACGGTTAATTTAACGTTGATAATTCACGGTTAATCAATGCTACAACTTCTGTGGGTCAGATAACAGACGGAAGTGGCCGTAATTTGCAATTTGTTTTCTTCAATTTGCGTATCCACAATTCCAACATGAAACGAATCGATATATATTTTTTCGTTTTATTCGCTATTCTCCTTTTCTCTTTTTGGTGTGATCTTGTATGTTAAACCGGGATATCGCAAAACAAGACAAGAGGTAACAAATTCGATCTCTTAGAATATTTTTCCCTAAGAAAATCCTCTGTTGAAGATTGAATGTGAATTTCCTTGACGAGTTTCGTGGGAGAATGTGAGAAGAAATTTTTCACGCAGAGGAATATTCGGTGAATCAAGGACTATGGTTTTTTTGAGGCGAAAATTCGAAAAGGTGGGATATTTTTGTAGCAAATATTTATTCTTGAAAAGCGTTTTTTATGTGGGCAAGTAAACCACTACAGAATATTCCTCAGCAAATATTACCAAGTCCAGGGCTAATTTTATCGGAAGGCGCAAATATGAAAAGGGACACATTTTGAAAGCACTCACTTATTCTTAGAGCGAACAGCGAATCCCCGAAAACTAGTTTTTGCAAATTATTCTAGATATTTTCCGCCGAGGCCTTCGATAAGCGCGGAATACATTGCTGTATTTTCTTTATCCTTCAATAAGCTGTGGAGAATGTTGTATTAAAGGTAACTCGAAACTTTCCCCATGAAACTGGGTGAATGTGATATAAAAGTAAGTAAGTAAAAGTAAGTATGGGGAAGGTTCTGAGTCAACTTTCATTCAACATTATTCATTCGAGAAGTATCAATTTGATCAGATTATCAAAAATAGATGATTTTTTTACCTTTGAAGGTTTAAAAAAACTTCTTCGTCGATGATAATGAAAGTGAAATCAATATACCGTGGGTCTTCTAACTAGAAAAGATCAATGTTTGTGTATATTTATTTTGGTTGCATCATTTGATCAGCGTGAGCGCGCTTAAATGGATTTTACCACGAAAGCATTGGGGTCAAAAGTACAAAACGTTCATCGCGTTTACAGTGACAGTTACGATAAAAACAAGTTTATTAACCAAATTTGTGCACCTCTTTTGTTTATACGGGGTGAAATAAGATTCTGGATTAAACGGCAACAGGTAAAAAGTTTAAAGACGTGTTTAAAGTGCTTTTGCTAGATGTTAAAGCCCTAAGTACTCAAGGGGAAGATTAACATTTCCATACTGCGAAACATAGATAAATTTTTCCAGTGAGTAAACAAAATTTCAACTACTAAATTTTGAGAAACCTGAAGCCCAGTTTGATCCTGCTTCAAACCGTCAACCATCTTTCAAAATTCACTTACAACGAGTAGTCAAATTATAGGATACAAAAAGGTCAGTTATATTGCACAAGGCGTTCCGCCATCCAATTTTGTGAATTGTTACTACCTTTCAAATAATAAAATCGACTGTAATTTGGAGAAAACTTCGACTCATCGATAAACGTAAGTTATCTGCAATTTTTGCATTATATATTTTGGATCGGCTCACGAAAGTTTATTCCGTGAACATCTGATTCGTATATTTTTTATGAATGATAAGCGAACCCAAATAAAAGATATTGGAATTTTAAGTTCATTAATGCAATTTTTTGTGTGGGTATTAAAAAATTTTTCATCAAATCAGAGCAATAGGTTTTCATTTTCAGATTATAAGGGAAAATAAAGAACCCACTTTCCGCAAGGTAAGAGTCATTAAAAGTTTATTTATTACTGAGCCAGTAAAATTGTTACCATCAGTGCCGTAGAGAATAAAATTTATTTTATGCACTTTCAACTCCTGTAAATGTAACTAAAACGTCTGCTGTCAAAGAACATTTTTGTTCTTTTTGGAATGTAAGAAGATTAAAATAGTGTGTCACTTGCCATATCCAAATTGTAGGGGTTTGACCACAGCGATAGTGAGCGAGTAGTGTTGTTAATGGGAAGTCCCTTTCGACCAAAAGTCTAAAGTCGACACACCACAAATGTATAGAATTTCGTGCCATCCTACATTATTTTTATTACCTACAAAGATCTACGTATAATTAAAATTGCTACATTGCGTTAGGTAAAAATCTCTTAATAACGGAACCAAACAAAATACAGGATGCGGATCGTTCTGGCTAGACGAGACAGAAGACGCATAACTTAGTAGTTGAAGAAGTAATAAAAAGACCATGTAACCATGTAGCAGCTTTTACTGGCAGAGCAGCGGAACTTTAGACAGCTTCCAGCAATGCGGTACATGTTTATACATCGGGACCTTAACCTCTCCCTAAAAAATACACAAAGGCAAACTGTAATGATAATGATAGAGTGTACATGAAATGATGCACATTACGCTACAGTTCTCAATTATCTCTCAAATGCGCCGCTTGTGAAATAATGAAAAAGAAAATAACTGGATATTGCTATTTTTTCAATTGACAATAAGAAGCAAAATAACGACGTTCCCATGCGATTCTTTACCAAAGCGGGAAATTGTTACTTTTTTCACCGAAGGCGCCATCTGCTCGTCGCGTACACACGACGTTCAGTCGCAAAAATATTTCGACGCCGAAGGTTTTATTTACCTCGTAAAAAACGCGAATAAATTTAGGACTAAAAATTTGTCTCCCGTGCTTTCCGGTGAAAATTGGAAATACATCCGGTTTTCTTATGTGCAAAGGAGTCACGAACTTCCATTAAATATTACCTCTCACCGAACACCTGTTTGATTCAATAATACATTTTCGATTCGTATCGCATGTGAAGTAAATTAAAAATTACACTCGCAATTTCAAGTGGCATAAAACTGAAAAGGATGATATTAAAACGTAAATAGGATATGTATATGTCTTGACATGCGTGATATGCTAAGATTGTGGATTATTTTGCAGGCGGAGGGTCAATGGACACCAGACAGAAGATGTGGACATCAGGATGTGTAGCTAAAGTTAATGTATGTACTGTCTGTTTAAGCTTCGTTTCATTTTAGCGTATATGTGCAACGTAAATAGATTAAGTTTTCATTTACCAATACAAACGCTCACAATTAATAATTATTTATAGTTTCCTTAATGATTTATGTAAAATCTGGTCTTTTTCCACAGGAATTTACTACTACATTTCTCTTACCTTATAAAGAGCTTGCGCAGGTATCGGTAATATCAACTTCGCGGGTGATCATCACGTTTCTTGGTGCCAACTTTTGCGATTTGGCGAACGATAGCATCTTGTTAAAAACTTACAGTAAACTTAACAGAACAATGAAATTTACAGTAAAATCATCATACAATCGTTTCGTATTTCAACAGTTGCACAATATAATCGAATTCAATATTACCGCAATTAAAGAAACGCCAAATTCTTCAGAATACCCTGTACAAAGTTATAAGCTACACAAAACCGTTGAATAAAGAATCTGAATTTATTATTCAATGACAAAACTATAAATACATAGAAGAAAGTCATTGATATAGAAACATAATGAAAATGCATATGAAACATAATCATTATACACTAAATGACGATTAGACCTTGGACAATTGCTTACCTTACGTGTAATTAGCGAAATCAGGGATTAAACTAATGGCATAACCAGCGAAATTAGCTTGTCTTAACATGAAAGCAGTTTCCACTTGAGAGTCGGTGGCGTGTGGAGCTAGTGATTAATGTGATTTAAATTAATGCCTAAACAAGCGCAGTTGAAATAAAATTTTGCCCCCTCCCTGAAAATAAAATATTTAAAAAATCAAATTGGCACGAATTTGCGTCGATTTTAGTCTGTTTCTGCCAATTATTGACATCAAAACAATAACACCCATAATTATAATTTATATAATAATATACTATAAATTAGAAAACCCTCCGTGTATCCTTATATATTATGGGTAATTGCGCTCTCCATAATATAATGAAAATATTATACAAACTGGAATAAAGTATACCTTTAGCGCATTACTTTTCTGCAGCGGTGCACTTTTGAAATGTCGTTTACCAGCAATTTAACATTTTGAAAATTTAAACGCAATTTTTAACGCAGCTTTTTTAAAGTCAGCCCATTTTTTTCATTCTCAGCGACTCGCAAGAAAATCAAAAGAAAAATAATATGTTGTGCATATCGATTTTTCACCTATCACTGTAATATGTAGTAGGGTAGGTCAGGTTTTATATTATTATTGCTATATAAAATCACTTTTCTTCAAGGAGAGATTAAATTTGTAGTTACAATTTGAAACTATCGTGCAAAAACACAAACGGGCAACAATTGCATTTTGAAACTGATAACTAGTATCCTTACGCGCCATATGAAAGTCGCCCATAATTGAAGATAGATAAACGAGAAGATAACAGTAGTTTAACGCTTCTTATAAGGTCCAAAATTATAGTTTATTATTAGTAAACAAAGCCAATTAACTTGTCCGATAACGCCTTTTTACAAAACATCTGAACAGATAAACCTTTTATCGATATTACGATTAAATGTGCCCAAATATGTGATGCC